GATGCTTGAGACAGACCTTAAATGAGGGCAGCCCTAGAAAACATAGGAGGTTTGAGTATTAAATAATCAGTAGTCTGAAAGGAAAAAAAAAAGGTTTAAACTAATATAGAAAGGCAGGAAACCGGACGAGGTGTGATCCCACTGCAGCAAAAGAGCTGCCAGGAGGGAGAAGTCTGGCTCTGCAAAACTCCTGTTCCTAAACAACAGCGTTGGGGAGGTCGGTGACATGGAGGAGGTAGGGCTAATAATAACAAATACAGCCAGAGTTATACCTTACATAGAGAAAACTGCACTGGAACTGGCTTTCTGAGAGCCCAGCAAAAAGCTTTTGTTTAATTTATGGGGCTCAGGCTATTTTTAGCCAGCAGATCCTTGGGGTTTTATCTGAGATCACTGCTCTGAGCCAGCAGCTGGAACATTTTAATTGTTTGCTCTGGATTTGGGGTGGGTTTTTTTCCAAAGGGAGAAAGAGGAAAGCAGGTACTGGGGTCTCCAGACACTAGCCCCTGCTGGTCTCCTGACACCCTTGGCAGCACCTCCCAGTGTGGGGAGGGCAAACAGGTTTCAGAGCAGCTCCCTGCCTCCTGGGAGACTTTTTGGGGTGGTGCTGGGGGGATCATAGGGTGAACCCCTGTCCTCCAGTCCAGCCAGGACTCTGCACTCATCCCCAGCCCCTGCTAAAGGCCAGCAACCAGCAAGCAAGAGCGTGGCAGGGGGACACCGTGTCTCCCCGTCCTCTGTTTGCTGCAGTGGTTTAAAAATAGCCTGGGCGGTCCAACAAGGAGAGAGCATCCCCTTCTTCCAGGAAAGCCAGAAGCGCTCTGGGCCTGGGAACCTGCCTGCATGCAGTGGGGGTTTATTTGTCAGGAAAGCCCTTTGGTATCTGCCTGGAGCGTGGATGCGAGAGGAGCCATCTGCTCAGGGACAGGCCGTGTTTACACCAGCCCTGACGGACTCGGCGGAGCCTCGTTCCAGCTCCCGTCACGCCGTTGGCACCTCTGCCCTGCTCGGAGCCTGGCCCCAGTGATGAATGCAGACATCTCTGTTTAGAAAAACACTGGCTCTGCTGCGCTGGGATCTCCCATGTCAGCTCAGAAATCTGTCCTGGCTGGTGGCTGATGAGCGCTGGCACAGTGAGGTGACAGGGGTCTGGTGGGGTGTCCCTGCCATGCAGGGCACTGGGAATGCCAGCAGCCTCTCCGGAGCTGTGCCCTGGTGCTGAGCACAGCACAGCCAAAGGAGCCTGGGTTGGCAGGGGGCTGGAGGGGACAGTGGGCTGGAGCCCATGGCAGAGCCACTGGCCTCGTAGGCAGTCCCAGCATGGGGACACCACAGCACAAGAGAGTGTTCTGGGAGTTCCTGCTCCACCCCCAACCCTCAGGACTCCAGGCGGACACTTTCCCCCAGGCTCACAGGGAGGTGTTGGTGAGTTATGAGACAGAAAGGAGGCAGTCAAAAGCAAAACAAAGCATCTCAGCTGGGCACATACTCTCAGGGGAGGCTGAGGTGCTCCAAGCTGCTCGTCTGCCTGTGCTGACCCAAGGGGATGTGGGCTTGGGATTAAAAGGAAAACTTTGAAGAAGGGCAAGAAAAATCAAGTTTTCAACCTTACTTCCCACACACACACCCCTTTTATTTTTTTCCTTTTTGTCTCCCTAAGAGTAACTCTTTTTCATTTGTACCCTGCTGACACAAAAAACCCCAGGTTTTGTGCTGAAACACCAGCAATCACCTCTTTCTATTGCCAGCCGGCGTGGCAAGCTAATTTTAACCTTCCCAGCTCCCTTCCATCTCCTGGAGATTGTCCTGTTGCAGCCAGGGAGTGCTAGAAAATAGTGCATCGCCCACTCATCCAGCCTCCTTCAAGGGAAATATTTATATGATGCCAAAGAGAGGGTTTCCATGGCAGTGATGACTTTAGCACCGTCGCCTTGGAAACCACTTGAGGCCATCTTGAAGGGTTTGAAAATCCCCTTCAGAGACAAATAAGGAGAGGGAGAGGAAAGGCCACTGGGATTCGAGTGGCATTTCAGTCTCCCCCAGCTTGCCCGTTGGCTCCTTGCCCACTCTCGCTGCTCTGGGTCCTTGCCCGTGCCACTGGGATGCTCTGTAGCCTGGATGTTGCTTCATTGATAGACCCAGGACAAAGGAATGAGGTGCTCTGCAAACAGAAATGGTTCGGTTGATGCTTCCTCCTGCTTTCCAAGCCGTCTGGCAGCGGCTCTGGTGTCAGGGCACTGCTAAGCCAGTATGACAGAGCTTCCTCCAGCCCTGAAGGGGGCTTCAGGGAGACCCCTGCCTGCACTGGCTAACACAGGGGTGATACCAGTGCCCGCCCAACCTCAAGCACCAGCTGCTTTCAGAACAGCAAACACACAGGTCCCACGTCTTTTAGATAGCCCCTGAGTCCTCACTACACACAACGTGTCCAGTCTTTCTCCCAAGCAGCTGCCAAAACCTGAACCACATGCAGCAGGCGTCAGAGCGCTCGCCTGTGGTAGCGAAATGAAAAGAGCCCGGTTCCCTCCTCCGTGTCACGCACCTCCCACAGCTCAGCCCCCACATCCCGTGGTTCAGCCGACTGAGCACCATCGGCCACTTACTCTCCCAGCCTGCAGGAGCTCTCTCACCAGCAGCCAGCCCATCTGGCTCTCAAGGACACCAGGAACATGACAGGGAGAGCGAAGCTTTCCTAGCAGATGGAGGATGAGCTCCACTATGCAGCTGGTGGTGGCAGGGGTGGCCAGTGTTGCTGCTTGTTCAAGCTATGGGATCGCTTTCTTTGGGATTTTGCTGAAAAATATTAGTCATCTTCTTCATTTTGTTTAGGACAATCCAAAATATTTTATTCTTTCTCCCTGAGGTGCCTCCACGCCAAGGAGTCAGTGATTCTCCAAGCCAGAGCTCTGACCTCGGCACACCTGATCAGCTCTGCTGAGCATCTCCAGTGCTGCCTCCCACCTCCCACCAATGAGTACCTTCACACCACCCCACATCTGCCCCCCCAGCAAAAATCAGCTGGCCACAAACAACCCAGCCAGCTTTCCTGCAGAGAAACACCCATGTAGTGCTTAGTCCCTCCACGGGATCCCAAGGGTGTGCCTGACCACGGTGCTGTTACCAGGATAGCTCATGTCTCTCTGTCCCACTGCCTGTGCCAGGCTGCCTGCTCCTGCCTGCACCTTGTGGGGGGCAAGGCGCATTTTGGGGGTGCCCCAGCTATGTGCTGATGGTGTCAGCAACCATGAGTCTACCTGGAAAAGCTTGGCCTTGTTCTGAATTAACGTGGCTGAACGTGTCTTTGCTCTGGAGCCCAATTGCCCATCCAGCCTCAAGGGCCAGTGGCTGCAGCTGTCACTGCAGAGCAGGGGAGCAGCAGCCAGCAAGGGCACAGCACCCTGTTGTACCCATGGGTGCAGCACTGGAAGCAAGGATGGGTGCACTTGTAGGAACTACGGTTTTGTCATGCTGCTGCTGCCAAGAAGGCCATGTAGTGATACTCTCACCTCATTCCCAAGGGATCTGGGATAAGAGCAGACCAGCCCAATGAGAGCAGCCCTGGACATGCAGCATCATAACCCTCCTCACAGTGACTGTGGGACCCATTTCATTTGGGCTGTCTGCATGAACTGCTGTGGAGCTCTGGCTCCAGCACAGGGAAGTTCTCAGTGCACTCTTGACCTACAGTATGTGAAAATTCCCATTTATACTGATGCAGCTTCTCACATCTTGAACATTGAACACGTGGGCGTGAGGCCAGGGGTGCCTGGCTTTGCCCAGGGTAGAGACTCCTAGCATTCTGTGTGTCACGAAATTCATGCCTGGCCTGTGCTGACCAAGGCATCAGGCTGGGATGCAAAGCATGGAATTACAAGGGTAAATATTTATTCATTGGCACGAGATGTCCCAGCCAAATCAGGGCACCCAAATGTGGTTTTACATGGGGTTCTCAAACCCATCAAACGCTCAGGTACAACACGACTTGACTGAGCACTAACACCCACACTACCAAATCTCCAATCACAGTAAAACTTGGCAAAGCCGCTCTGTTTCTGCAGCGTTCTGCTGCTTATCTATCGATCCAGGTGTCCCTGAGTCCCCCTGGCTGCAATGACCAATCTGGGACACCAGACGATGCTGGGAGAGTCTCAGAGCCCTGTCGGGACGGCTGGGATGCTGCGGTACCCTGGGTGTCCCAGGGATAAACCTATTCTTTATTCTTCAGGGTCTGCTCTGAGCTTCCCAGAAGCAAAATTCTTCTCTCCAGGGCCGGGTTGTCCTTTTGTTCGTTTTACTTCAGCACGAACAATATCAAAGTTTGCAATAAAACTCCACTACCGCAGCACATCGCGGTCTGTCATGAGAACTAATATGTATTTTAGCATCAACGTGCTTCCGTGCTATAAAGAGCGATGAATAAGTGCGTGAGGGGACGCGGGACCCTTCGGGGTCGGTTTGCGCAGGGGCAGCCGGCGGGGCTCCGGTTAACTCGGAGGGGATGCGGGAGGGCCGGTGCCCGTGCCCTCCTCCTCGTCCTCTTTCTCCTCCTCCCGCGGGGGTCTGGCCCCCTCCTGCGGCCGGGCGCGGGGCTGCGCGGGGGCGGCGGGGGGTCCCTCCGGCAGCCCCGCAGGGCCGGCTCCGCCCGGGACAGCTCCTGCGCCCGCCGCCCCCCAGCCCTCCCTCCCCGTGCCGGCGGGTCGGTCCCGGCGGGTCGGTCCCGGCAGCCCCGCGCCCCGCGGCCGCTCAGGGGCCGCCCCCGGCCCGCCCCCGGCCGGCCCTACATAGCGGCACTGCCCGCCCCGGCCCGGCCCGCTGCGCTCCGCCATGGCCCCGGCACTGCCGCTCTGCGCCCTGGCCGTGGCCCTGCTGGCCGCCGCCGCCGCGCAGGACGTGGCGGGAGGTAAGCGGTGACCGCGGCGCCGGGGTGGGGCTCTGGGCGTCCGAGCAGCCGGCGCTCCCCGCACAGCACCCCAAAGTCATGGCTGGACAGTTTCTTTGGACCCCGCGTTTGTGGGATGTCTGGTGCGGGAAGCAGGCGGGCACCCGCTGGGTGCGGGTGGCCACTGGCCAGGGCGCTGTGGCCACTCGGAGTAGGGCCGGGCAGTGGGAGATGGGAGGGGAGGTCCTTCCCTGGATGGGAGCTCTGCAGGGTGGGATCTGGCGCAGAACTCCACGGAGTTCTGGAAGGTTGAGTGCTGGAAGTGGGGCTTTGCTCGCCACTTTTCCAGCTTCCACTGCAATGGAACTCTGCGTGACCGGAGAAGCTGTGGCTGCCCCATCCCTGGAACTGTTCAAGGCCAGGTCGGAGGGGGCTTGGAGCAACCTGGTCTAGGGGAAGGTGTCCCTGCCCGTGGCAGGGGGGTGGAACTGGAAGTCCTTCCCACACAAACCAGTCTGTGATTCTATGATTTAGTGATGATAAGGGCTCAGGTGAGAGCTGGGTATGTGTCCTGGCCAGGAGGTTCTTGCTGGGCAGCCAGGCCCCTGCTGATGGCCCTTTGGAAGAGATTCTCTTTCAGGGCAGGGGAGACTGGCTGGGGCAGCCTCAACCAGAAGCAAGATGGGTGTCATCAGGTCTGGGTGGAGAGCAGTGGGTGTCCAGCTGCCCCTCCTTGGTGAGTGGAGGATGGAGCATAGCCCTGTGGGTGCTGTGCCTGGTGGAGGATAAGCTGTAGCAAAGGGTGGGGACAGCTGCCTTCAGGGTGTCCCAAGAAGTCTGCCCACTCTTCCGAGCAAGGAACTGTTCTCCATGTGATGATGTCTGCACGGTGGCTCCTCAGGGAGGAGAGTGAGGACCAGCCTATGTTTTGCTGTCTTCCTTCCTCTCCAAGGCATTCACTTCGCTCCTTTTGTAGCCAAGTGCCAAAAGTATTATCTGGGAGGTTTCTAGTGCAGCAAGAGCTGCTGTCCCATCTCTGACCCTGAGGACTGCAGTGCTTCCTGTGCCATCCTGTGCGAGCTGGCTGGTCCCCTGAGATGGAGTGTTTGGAAAAACTCCAATCCTGCGGGGTCCTGGAAGCAGCCAGTTCCCAAACAGCTGTAATGGGGTGGCTTTGACTTAACACGGCTTGGAGAATGGTCCCCCAGCTGGGGGTGCCAGGAGAGGGGGAAAGCAGAGCCCATTTAGATCTACAGGCTCTCCTTTGCCCACTGCTGGCCTCCTGTGATGTGGGAGGGTGTTTTGTGACTTCTGGTAAGAAAACAGTCTCAGGGCAGCACAGGCTCCGTGATGCTTTTCCGGCCTCAGTTGGAGAAATGGGGAAGACGCAGCTTCCCAGAGTGTCTAAAATCTGCAATCTCTGCCTCTCCCGGGTGTGTAAACACCCTTATCTGAGCTATGTTAATCAATTGCCCAGTTGTTTGGAGGGCTGCCGGAGCATGTGACTGCTGACAGTGGGTCACAGCTGAGGGTTCCTGCCAGCTGGAGGGAGAAAATGCAGCTTTGCTGCCTGTGAGGGTGGAAAACAAGCACCTATGGGACTGATTTCTTACTGATTAAGGAGCTGCAAAGCAGCGATTCTTCATCCACCAGTAAGTAAGCAGTCAGGCAAATTGGTTTGAGTTTTGGTTTTTTGAACCACTGTCAAACAGGCTTAGACTCTTGAGCAGGGGTGAGTTTTAAATGGCTGATTCTCAAGGGCTGGCAAACCACCCTTCCTGAGGATCTGAGGGAGCATACCAGAAAATTGCAAGTGAAAATGCTGTAAGAAGACTTTCCCCAAGAGCTAGCACTGGTGGGAGCTACAGGTGAGCCCAGGAGGGCGTCTAGACTGGGCCAGCTTGTCCTGTGTTCAGACCTGATCCATTTCCCTGCCTAGCTGGCTGCATTCCTTGGGGGATGCCATCATCCATGATGCCACTAGTCCTGGGAGCCACCTGTGTCTACAGAGCTGGGGTCTTCCTCTGCCAAATGGGGGTGGAAACAGGTTCTAACTGGGCACAGATTTTGGCTGCAGTGCTGCTCCCATCACCCAGACTGTGTCCTGCTGAAGGAAGATTTGGATGAATTGGCTGTGGCAGGGTACAACCCTCATGTGCAGCAGGAGGGCCCCTGCAGGGACTGTAGCTGTGTGTGTTCCCTTGTGCTCCTCTGCTTCTCCTGGTAGTAACTTCTGTGTCTGGGGCTTATTTGCTTGAGGTGCTCCATCATCTGGTGCCACAGGGCTGCCCCATGCTCACCCTCATCCTCACAGAGTCCCTCTGGACCGACCCTAGCTGTGTCCCCTGGCTGCCCTGCTCCCACAGCAGATGTGCAGGCTTTTAGGGAAATAAAACCCAGGAGAGGAACTCACAGCTCTGGGCTTTGGGTCAGCGGGGCAAGGCAGATAAACTGCCATTAGCATTTGGGCCTCCCACTGTGACCCCAAACAGAAGCTGGCAGCTCTTGCAGAGGCAGCATGCATTTCTGCTGGTCCAGTGGTAGGCAGAGCAGTGGGCAGGAGCAGGCTCACAGGAGCCCAGCGTTTTAAACCACTGAAGCTCTTCAAAGTCCTGAGGTGTCTTTTTTTCCTTCACACAGATTGTCGCCAGTATACGAACAGGAGCTGTGAGGAGTGCCTGAAAAATGTCACCGTGAGTAGCAGCAGTAAGACTCCCAACCTCTTGCAATGCCTGAAAACGTAATGTGGGCTTTGTGGGGCTGTTGCAGAGCAGTTTCCCTCCTGGAGGGGGCTGTCCTCTGCCCTTGTCCCAGACAGGCTACAAATTCCACTGATCCATAATGGTGAGAGCACCTCCTGGTGCTCTGGGAGGTGGTTGCCAGAAACTCCTTGGGTTTTGTTGTATGGTTTTTGAGTAGAGTAATGGAATTGCTGAGCTGCATTTCACACATGGGGGACACACACAGAGAAGAGGCTGAGTGGGCTGGGCTGGACTGGCTGGTGGAGTTGCCTCTCCACCAGTCTGTGGGTGCTGTGGCACTGGGTGGATGCAGGATGTGTACCAGTGTCCTGCCAGTCTCTGCTGCCTTATCTCTGATATCAGCAAACTTGAACTTGAGTCAGATCTTGCAGCTGATGTAGCCAGAACCAGTTTGACCAAACGCAATGGAATGCTGGGGTTGGCAGTTGGAGCCACCGGGAGAGGCACATGCAAAGCCCTGCAGGTAGTCTGGCTGGGCACACACACCTCTCCTGCTCACCAGCTCTGTGTGGACTGCCTTGTCTCAAAGGCTTTTTTCTTGTCCCAAAATAAACACAAAGGATTTGGTTATTACTACCATTCTGCAAGCCATGGTGGGATCCTTGGGGCTGTCCTGTTCATGGCCAGTATTTGACTAAATGATCCTTGTGGACCCCTTCCAATTCAGGACAGTTTATGGTTCCAAGCCGTGAGAAGAATTCTCAGCATCTTTACTTACTCTAAAACTCTGCATTCCCCTTGCCTGCCTCTCCTGGTGTGGCCCGTGCTGACACAACTCTTACTCCCGAGCATCCCGTGGCTGCCGGGTGGTACCTGGCTCTTGGGAGCTGGCAGCAGTGGCCCTGTGCTGCAGCTACCAAAGCAGAGCGTGGCTATTGGCAGCACAGTCATGCACCAGTAACACTGTGCTACCTGGTTCTGTGTCCTAGTGCCTGTGGTGCGCCAGCAGTAGGAGGTGCATGGAGTACCCCGTCCAAAGAATCCTCCCCCCGGCCGACCTGTGTGAGCTCCGCTCTGCGCGCTGGGGAGTCTGCTGGGGTAAGTGCCTGGCGCTGCAGTGATGCCTGTGTGAGTGCCTGCTGCTGGTGGGAGGTTCCCCTGCCTCCCCATCTCGCTGCCGGTGTAGCAATGACGGGCTGAAGTCAGTCAAGGTTCTGCAAATTTCCTCAAGTGTGGGCGGGGAAGCAGAGTATGAGCAGTTCCCTGCCTTCTGGCGAGTAGGACCTGTGGGGATTTAGCTACTCCAAATACATCCCTTATGGTTTGGTGTGATGAGGCTCCAGACGTGGCTAGCACCTGGGAACAAGAGTGGAAGGTGCTCTGTGGGCAGGTGCCTGTGCAGCCCTTCCTGGTGTCTGAATCCCAGGAGCTCTCTCCTCTGCACCCAGCACATCACTCCGTGTGCTGTTTCTGGCTCTTGGTGTCTCGTGGTGTGGCTGCTGTCCCAGGTGGGCTCCTGGGACCAGAGGTGTGACTTCTCTGGAAGTCTGTGTGTGCTTCTAGCGCTGAGTGTGCTGTGGTCCTGTTCAGCTCTTACCCACCTGAGAAAACACCCTTTTCCAAATCTACCCTTGCCTGTGCAGGTCCCCTCCAGGAGCTTTTTCTGGTGGACAGCTGACTCTGGTGTTGGCTGTCTCTCCTTCCTGCTGGTCTGTTTCCTGGAGGATTTCTGGAGAAATTGGTGTCTTGTTTAGACCAAGCTTGGTGCATGCTCATTCTCAGACAGGATGCAGCTTTTGGGGGCTGGGGCAGGAAGGAAGCAAGCTGGGGCTCGGTTTCTCTCACCCATCCCCTTGATGAGGAGCTTGGAACTGAATTGTGGTCACCTGTCATCTGCTGTGCTTGAGGCTGGGCTCTCTTCTCTGCCCAGAAGAGTTCAAACCGCTCCCATGCCTGTGGAGAAGAATCTCCTCTTTGTGAGCCCTGCAGTGTTATGCTTTTCTGAAACTTCTGTAAGACCTTGAAATACTAGTTTTGATGAGAGTAGCTTCATAAAAGGTTCCATTATAGAAGAATGCATTCCTTAACTTGCAAAACTAGCTTTAGAGGAGATTAGTGCTGTGGGAGATTAGCTCTCACATGAGTCTGCATTTTTGGTGTGTGTGACTTAGCCTTTATCATCAGCTGGAGGAGTGCCTGGTGCTCTGCCAAAGACCTCTCTGTGTGGGATGGGGGGATCTGAACCCCAGGCTCACCCTGAAAACTGAAGTTTCAGAAGCACTGAGGCTGCTGGAGGCTTTCAAAGCAATTTCAGTGGTGGAGTCAGCTCAGCCTGGAGCACCTAAAAAAGGATCTATTGAGAACAGATACAAGGAAGAAGTTTTTTTACAATGAGGGTGGTGGCGCAGTTTGCCCAGAAAGGTGGTGAATGCCCCATCCCTGAAAATATTCAAGGTCAGGTTGGACGGGACTCTGAGCAACCTGGTCTATTGGAAGATGTCCCTGCCCAGGGCAGGGGGTTGGACTAGGTCCCTTCCAACCCAGACTATTCTGATTCACCCCAATAAGTCTGGCACTGCTCGGTCCTGGCAGTGAGGGGACAGGCAGACATCTTCTGAAATGCCCTCCAATGCCCCAACATGCTGTGCTTTAGGCATTCCACTGGGCTCATGGCAGAACTGCATGGAAAAGGAGGGATCAGAAGTGCTCCGAGCAGGTTCGGGTGCACTGGGATTCCTGTAACCTGGCTGTTGTGTGGGAAATGGCTCCTAAACAAATATTTCCACAGGCTCAAGTCTCTGAACAGTCTGAATCATACTTGGAAGAAACTCCTCTTTGTTGTTGCCTGAAATCCTTGGCATTTAGATGTGTCTGTTTTGGCTGGTGTCTCTACTGCCTTTACTGCAGGAACTGAGTAGGATGAGCGGGGCCAGGGCTCAGGCTCCTGCTTCACCACCACATCCCAGCGGGTTTTGTGCTGTGTGTGGGTGACAGATCCCCCCAGCTCTGGGGAGACATGGCAGCGGGGTGCAGGAAGCAGCCCTCAGCCTTCAGATGTTTCAGCAGCGTTGCTGGTCTCAAGCCAATAAATCCCAACAGATCTTGTCTCAGTTTGTCTCTTGCCCAAGGACTTCAGACACCCTGAAATGCTCATCTCATCATAGGTGACTTCTGAGGTGGCTCCTGTGGGCAGTAACTCCTCTCTATCAGAGGTTGTTCCTCAGCCCTGAATCCTCCAGTTGTTGATTTTTTTTTTTTCCCCTTGATAGGTTACTGTTCACCTGGATTAGTGATTAAGACAGATTTGCTCCTGCCAGAGGAGTTTGACCTGAGTGCATTTCTTCTTGCCTTTCTTCACAGCCAGTAACTGAGCACTCCATTTAGCAGCTATATATACTCACTGGTGTGCATGTGTGGGTGCCAACACTTGGTATATCTACAGCTAACCATGCCCATTTGCTTTCCCAGGTGGTTACACACGTCTCCAGCACAGTGACTGAAGCTGCTGGTGACAGTAGCTGCATGTTCATAAATAGGACAAGAGGAAATGGTCTCCAGTTGCACCAGGGGAGGTTTAGATTGGGTATTAGGAAAAATTTCTTCACTGAGAGGATGGTCAGGCATTGAAACAGGATGGTCAGGGCAGTGGTGGAGTCACCATCCCCAGAAGTGCTCAAAAAAGCATGCGGCTGCAGCACCTGGGGACATGGTTTACTGGGGCTGGCAGTGCTGGGGGAACAGTTGGACTTGATGACCTTAGAATGCTTTTCCAGTCTTAATGATTCTGTGATCCTGTGATTCTATACTGTAACTCCAGACAGCTGTGTCTGTGTACTAAACATGTTTTGTCAAATCCTTTAGTGAACTTTGAAGCCCTGATCATTGCGATGTCCGTGGTGGGAGGAACGTTCCTTATCATGTTGGGGGTCTGCTGCTGCTGCTGCTGTTGTAAGAAAAAAAGCAAAAAGCAAGTATCAAGGGGGTTCCCTGTTTGCTCGGAGCAGCTTAGATACAGCCACGTGCTGTTGCAGAACTGAGTGCTGAGTGCTGCTAACAGGCTCTTCTGTCTGTCAGGCCAGACAAGGATGATGAGAGAGCAGCCAGGGAGCGCGAGAAGAGGCGGGTACGGCAGGAGGAGAGGTGAGTTTGTACCACAGGCCCTCAGAATGATTTGGCTCCTGTCTGTGCCATCAGTTGTGATGCCAGGAGGCACGTGGGGCTTGACACATGCAGTCAGTGGCTGCTTCAGCCCTAGCTCAAACACAAACCTCATGAGCAGTGTTCTTCTGGGATGACTTGTGGATGCAGGAAGGACATCCTTCAGGAAGTATACTGAGATGCTGGAGCAGGTCCAGAGAAAAGCAACGAGGCTGGTGAAGGGACTCGAGCACAAGTCCTATGAGGAGAGGCTGAGGGAGCTGGGGCTGTTCAGCCTGGAGAAGAGGAGGCTCAGGGGAGACCTCCTCACTCTCTACAACTCCCTGACAGGAGGCTGTAGCCAGGTGGGCATTGGGCTCTTCTCCCAGGCAACCAGCAGTAGGACAAAAGGGCTCACTCAGTCTTAAGCTGTGCCAGGGGAAGTTTAGGTTGGATATTAGGAAAAAATTCTTTACAGAGGGAGTGATCAGCCATTGGAATGGGCTGCCCAGGGAGGTGGTGGATTCTCCGTCCCTGAAGGTTTTTAAGATGAGACTGGATGTGGCATCAGTGCCATGGTCTGGGAACCACAGCAGGGTTGGACCAAGGGTTGGACTTGATGATCTCGGAGGTCTTTTCCAACCCGGTTGATTCTCTGATTCTAAGTGTTGTGTATGTGACTCCCCGAGGGCTGCTGACATTTGTGGGCTCTGGTGGTCCCCAGTGCCTCCAGGAGGGTGGGAGATGGGAGGCTGAGCAAACCTGGCAGCCTGGAGCTCCCTTGGTTGGCAATAAGCAAGGAGCTGTTGCTCTTCTTATTTGATTTTGTATCACCAGTCATTGACTCATGGCTTTTCTGTTTTCTTCTTGCAGGAGAGCAGAGATGAAATCACGGCATGATGAAATCCGAAGAAAATATGGTACAGTGCTGACACGAGTGATTCAAACTAAGCTTTAAATGGAGCAGCCTCAGTAACTGTTACCTGCCATTTTTACAGCTGTAGATGAGACCTGGCCAGCAGGGAAAACACAGTCCCTGCTTCCCCTGTCTCAGTGAATTACTCTCTGGGAGCAAGTGTAGGGATGCTGGGGTCATGGTGTGTGAGCCCACACAAAAGGACTCTTCCTCCTGGGCAGAGAAGGAGTGTTTAATGCTCCCCAGAACTTGTGTCCTCTGAGCTTGCCACATGGGAGAAGTTGATGGGGCTTGACTGGAGGAGAGAAGTAAAAGCTGGGAGACACAGCATGATTGTAGTGCTGTTACCTTTCAGGCACAGTAGCCCTGTGGCCAGTGAGTGGCTGGGGAGCCAGCGGTGTGGGGTAGGGGGGCAGGAAGGAATCAGTGCCCACAGCTCAGGAGCACAGAGCAGGCACCAGTCGCACCACAGAGCTGGTGTTCTGTGCTGGCAGGAGGTGGCTCAGTGCCCTGGGGGGCACAGCCTCCCTCCAGGGGCTGGACTGTCCTTCAGGTGAGTCCCACAGGATTGGGCCAGGTGCAGACCTGCCAGAAGTCTTGGAAGGAAGCAGGAACCAGCCAGTTGCTCAGAACCAGTGGAGGGGTATCTCCAGCCTGCCCTTTGGGGTGCTGGGGGCTCTGCCAGGGTCTGGTCATGGAATAGGGAGCAGTTGGGCTCATGCACGCTGCACTTGGTGGTTTCTGGCTTTGGAGGGAAGGGCTGTAGGGAAAGCTGGAGACCCTTCCTCTTCCTGCAGCTGCTGCCTGCTTTAAGTCCAGGATGGGCAGGAGATCCAGGGACCTCTGGATGGGCTGGCTTCTCCAGGGAAGGAAGAGCAGGCAGAGCTGTGCCTGAAGGAGCTCTTGGTGAGGGAAGCACCTGCCTGTGGAAGAGCTGTGCTCTGGGACTGTCTTGCCATGTCAGGGCTCTGTCTTGCTGCAGCCTGACCCCAGAGTTTGCAATCTCCTTTCTGGCTGTTCTTCCTCAAAAGTGTTGGGCTGGAAAAGCAGCCAACAGAGTGGCACAGAGGCTCATTGCTGGCCCTGAAGTTAGCCTGATACCCTGCCTTGCTGTCTCCCAGTCTGGATGTAGCAGCAGTAGAGCAAGTCTAAAAACAGTTTTAATTTAATTTGGGTCTGGCCACTCCACTTGTCTGACAGAAGGGGTTTGCAGAGGGAGTGGTCTGGAAGATTAGTCATGCTGCTTTACCTGGACTGTACATGGACTGCCTGGGAGAGGAGTTTGCCATCAGGTCGAGCTTCTTAATGGTGCCTCTTCTTGTGCAGAAGAGGAGAGTGAAATAGTGCTGTGTGCTCAGCTCAGGTAAGAGCAGGTCTTACGGGAGGACTGCTGGATGATGCACAAATGACAGAGCTGTTACCAAAAACTGGGTTTCCCACTGGCCATGACTAGCTGTTGTCTAAATTAATCTCCTCTCTTCTAGGCCTGTTCAAGGAAGAGAACCCTTATGCAAAATTTGAGAATTAGCATCTCCAGACCCACCGACCCCGGTGAACAGTGCCTTCTGCAGAGCCAAAAGTCTCCAGGTTTCCCTCCCCATCAGGAGACCACCACTTCAGCTGCCACAGAGGATGAGCCAAATGTTTGCTGGCACCATTGTCCCCACTCTGGGTGCTCAATTTGCCCAGAGCTTTGCTCTTGCCCTGCTGGCGCAAGAAAAAGTGGTGGCAATACCAGACAAGGGCACATTTCTTCTCACTCACCCCTGGGGTGGTTGCGGGATCCAAAGCAATGCAAGCAACAGCCCTTGTCCCTGGCCAAGGGCAAAAGTCACCTTTCACATCTCCCTTGCTCCTGCCACGCCAAATACCAAATACACTTCACACACACAGAGCCAGACTCTTCTGTTTGCCTATTTTCTTCTTTTTTTTTTTTTTTTTTCCCTTCTAGTATATGTAAAAGCCAGCAAGAGTTTCCTGACTTATGGGTCAGCAGGAGGCCTTGGCCATCACTCCAGGTGCCTGTGTTTATCCCAACACATTAGCATTCCTCTCAAAGAGCACAAGTTTCTGGTAATCTGGGGCTTCCAGGAGGAAGGTCCCACGTGAACCTTCTCACTTGCAACTAATCTGGGGAAATGCTCCAAATCTCCTACCTCTCTGTGCCTTTCTAGAAAGGTGGTCTTGGGCTCGATGGCCACAGCTCTTAGCAATACTATAGGTTTCAGATGCATTTACAATATGTTTCAGATGCATTTACAATATGTTGACTCAATATTAAACTGATTCGATTACTATCCTGGTCTGAAAGAGTTTAATTCTGTTTCCGCAGCAGACATGGGTTGGCAGTGATGGCAGATGGAGTCATCACTATTGCATGGCTCTGACTCATCAGGGGTAGCTAGTGGAGGCAGAAGCAAGGCTGCCTTGGGCTCTTGCTGGGCTTGAAAGGAAGAGTCTGTTCATGGAGATGTTCAGGTGTCAGGAAAAGCCTGAGATGGGAGTAATGCTGCTCTCTAAGGAAGGAGCTGGGTCTTCCAGCAAGAGCATGGCCTGTGGCACTCATGGGAGAGAGCCCTTGTCTGGGTGGGGTGACCTGGGGGGTTCCTGGCAGCTGCAGGCACAGACTGAACTCTGAGCTCTGTAAGGGACCTGGGGTGGGGAAGGAGGATTGGAGCCGACTGCTCCGATGTTCTGCACCTGACCAGAACTGGCTGTGCAGCTCCCAGAGCCCTGTGTGCAGGCAGGACACTGACTGTGAGAGTTTGGGCTGTGGCCTCCTGCCAGGTGGTGTGACTCCTGAGGCTATAGAAGCATTGCTGTGGGCTTGGATAAAATGCTCCATCTGCATTGCCAGGCTCATGGACCTCAGCACAAACTGCTCCAGCTGGACTTGTGAAGCTGAACTGGCTGTGAGCCCTCACTGCTTCTGCTGCCCTGCCTGGGCTGTGCTGGCAGCCAGGCTCTGGCTGGCTGCTGCCAGGATGCTTGGAGATGCAAGACTTGCAGGTGATTTTTTTTTTTTTTTTTTTTTTTTAATCCAGGCTGTCTCTGGCTGCTGCCAGAAGAGACATGGGTGGTAGGAACAAAAGGAATGATTCTGCCAAGCTCTAAATGGCTGCTTTCCCATCTTCTGTCCAAGTCAGTTGTCTGGGCAGGGGCTGTGTCCTGGTGCTGCTGGTCAGGAGCTAAGGTTAGTGGTGACAGCAGCGCATCTGGGTGTACGTGGCAGGGAGATGATGCTTCAAAGACATCCCTTGTGCCTGGGTTTGGTTTGAAACTCCTTGTATGTGGAAAATGAATTGTACATTCCCTGTAATGAGAAGGGAAAGTGCTGATAAGGATGCTGGTTGTGCCCTGGGCTTTACTGGGTGCACTGGCCCAGAGAGGCTGCGGTCCCCCTGCCAACAAAAGGTACAGGGGACACTGTGGGGGCTTTGCTTGGGAACAAGCAGTGTACAGGGACAGTTGGTGCTAAAGCTGTTGGAACTGCCTTTACCCCTGCTGGGCTGCTCCAGGTCCCATCCTGCCCTCAGCCTGGGACCAGGATAATCTATTTGGGTTATCTGAGCCCTTCCACTGGCCCCACTCCCAGAACTAAAGGGTGGTGCCTCCAAACCCATCAGGGATGGGGGGGCCCTGCAAGCAGGTTCCCCTTCCTGGGACCCCACTGGTGACAGGCTCTGTCCTCCTCTGCTGAGCCAGGGCAGCAGAGGAACCTGCTCACCTGGGGAACCAGGTCCCTGCCTGGACAGAGCAGGGCCATGCCATGCTGCCAAGGGCAGCACCAGCTATCCTGGGCTCCAGCATCCCCACCCACAGAGCTGCCTTCCATAGCTTGGGGTGGAGCTACTCCTGATGTTCCTAATTTCTCTTGTGAAGGTTGCTGTGTGCAGGTATTGCTTGGCTGATGTGCTGAAAAGCTGGTGCTGCCTTTCGCTTGGCTGGGCCATGACAGAGAGGAAGCTGTGTCCTTGTGTGGCCGAGTGTTACGATCAGGTCATTAAAATTACTAGAGAGATGCCTCTGCCCAAATTAAGATGCAAACAAGACTATACGTCAAAGTCAATAGAATGGATTTTTATTTAACAATAAATGTGAGGTAGAGAGAGTTGCCTACTCAGGTCTGGGACGAAACACATCCAAAGTGAACCGAGAGCAGAGCCTGGCAGCTAAAAAGACACTTTATGAGAATTAACTGGTCCTTGGAGAGGCCACCACAATGGAACACTGCCCTGATTGTGGTGGGGGAGCAGACAGCAGTGGGGGCAGCATGGCTGAAGGGTGGGACAGTGCCCCACCACCTACAATAGCTGACAACAATAGTCACTAGAAGGATGCAGGAGGGAACTTGGAAAGAAGGGATTAATGAGTTGTAACAGGGAGCTTGGCTTCGAGCCACAAAAAAGTTAAACAGCCCTGCACAGAAAGGCCAGAAGCAGATGGCACTGAGCTGATTCCAACCATGTGATAGGAAAGGTGGGACAAACAGCCAAAGCCCTTGAAGAGATAAAATCTCTGTGAAAGACAGAGCTGTGAGCACTGGCCTCCCAGCTGCAGGTGCAGGATAACTGTGCTGGGTCGGCCGGCAATCCTAAGAGCCTCTTCCATTTAATTCAAAACAGAGTGGTGGTGGCAGCAGCAGTGGGGCCCTGTAGGTGCCTGGCACTGGAGATTCTCCACTGAACAACCTCAGTGACTCTGCAGAGGGCACAAAATTATTAGGAGAAGTGGTGTCAGTGAGTAGTGCTCCAATGGTATCTTCAGGAAAAGGGGAAGAAGAGGAAACAATACAACATATGCTACTTTGTGTTCCAGAGCTGCTGTATTGGAAGAGGAAAATGCTCACTGGGGCCAAGAAATTAAGCACCCAGACATTTGTCATGAGTTTGGAGAAAGAGGAAGCTTAGGGAAGGCTGAACTTTGCAAACAGTATCTGCCTGAGAAGAACTCATTTTAATTGTTGGTGCTGCGGGTCTGTAAGCAGAGGGTGTGGATGAGCGGCGTGAAGCCAAGATGGCGGCTGAGCATGAGGGCTGTAGGCCAGGGGCTGGTGCTGGGCCTGCTCCTCTGCCTTCTCACCAGCAGCCTGAATGATGGGGCCCAGGGCACCCTCAGCAAGTTTGCTGAGGATCCCACGTGGGCAGGAGCTGCAGAGACACCAGAGGATGACATGGCACCCACAGGTACCTTGACACGCTGGAGAAAGGGGCTGACGGAGCCTCTGGAAGTTCAACCAAGGCACAAGCAGAGTCCTTCCCCTGGGGAGCAAGAGCCCCAGGCAGCAGGACACACGTCCTGGGAAGCAGCTCTGCGGAGTGGGTCCTGCTGAGTGCGATGCTGGCACAAGCCCACCAGCAGCAGGGACAGCCCTGGAAGGGAGCTGGGCAAACGCCGAGGTGTGCAGCCCGCTGCCGGGTGGGCTTTGTGTCACAGGCTCTGTCTGTGTGGACGGGGGAGGTCGTGGCTGTGCCCTGAGTGTGCCCCTGGGAGCTCTGGGATGTCACCAGAGTCACAATCCCCCTATGACATCACCTGCAGTGGGTAACTGGAAAAGGCAGTGCTGGGCACTGCCAGCAGCACACAGACGAGGTCTGCGGGCAGCACCCGAGCCGTCGAGTACTGCCAGAGCACGCCAGACTGTGAGCCGTCAGTGGCCAAGGAGCCACTGAGATTCAGTAGTGACTGAGGAGCCTCTGAGTCTTGACAGGGACTGAGG